TCTCAATCATGACAAGGAGCACGGCATGTGTCACCGGTCGGCAGGGGATCTTCACTTCTCCATGGCACCTGATCCAACTCTGATGTTTTGGAGGTCCGTATTTGCTCTGCTCCTGTTTTGTGTTGTTTTATGGACTTTTGATCTGTTCGTTATCTCAATATATTTCATGCAAAAATTCGAGAAATTTGAATCCAGTGCAATCAATCAATATTAATTTTTTTCTAAGTTCAGTTTTGTGTTATCAAAAAAAAAAAAACAAGGATTGGACATATATATATTCTATACAAGCTGTATTACTTGTATTTTTTTCATGGCCTTAAAATAGAGAGGGTGTCAACCCCCTCCCCCCTAAATTCGATGACCGTTTTTTCCCAATAGTTTTGCCAATATTATACAATTAATCACTCTTAATGAGGTCAACATGGTGAAATGATGACCCGAGACCTGACCCACGAGGTGAGCTGACCTGACCGAGGCCAACGGCCGAGGTCAGGTCAGGTCATCGAGTGGGTCAGGTCAAAGGGCATCATTTCACCATGCTGACCTCATAAAGGGTGATCAATTGTTTTATTATACCGACAATAATGATAATGAAAAGTTTACGATTAACGAATACAAAAGTCCAATAAAGAACTTTACATTAACTTTTCTCTTGGTGTTCCTTTCCTACATAATAGTGAATATGCACTTGTCCGACATTTCTAAATACTGGACCACAAGAGTTTTAAGGCATTTTGTCAACTTTAACATTCTCTTTTTTTCTGGAACAAACACATCTGAACTATTTTCATCAACCAGGGCTTCAGAAAGCAATTTTTTGGTACTAACAGTCTCAAATTCACAGTTATTTAAATCCAAGAGCTGAGTTTCTGAAGTAATGGTACTAGAATGTGTTGGAATGTGTTGGAATACTGGGTTTTCTAGCCCTAGCTTTGGTGATGGATAAACCACAGATGATAAAACATCAAATATGTCTTGCTTTTTGGATTCACTTACGCATCTTGAATAGCTTTTTATCGAGGTTTCCGACTTATGTCCACTTACAGACATGATATGTCTAACTTCTATCCCACGCTGATCCAAACTAGTAATACACGTGGCACGTATGCAGTTGAGAGTTCAGCTTTCATAGAAATTGTTTTCATAAAATTTCCCAAAGTATTATGACCTACTGGAGAATTATCATACCAAACAGCATCCTAATCCTTAATATGGCGCTTCGGTCTCTGCCAAAAACTTTCACAATTTGTATTCAGCTTTCCGAGGTATTTCTCCAGCCTAGACACAGGGCACTTCTCATCACCTACATGAACATATAAACATGAAAAAATTATAAATCAGTTGAATTTTGGAATAAGATTATGATCTAAAATTAGTTAATACTGAAGTTTACATGAAGTTTATTTTAAATGATTGTAATTCAAGAAGTATCATTACCTGGTATTTCATATATTCTTGCTGAAGATCCATCATAGTCATTAACATCACTTCCTCTGTGATTTTTGGTTTCATACTGAGCGACATTTAGATGATATCTCCTTCCTTGGCCATCTGTCCTCAAAACAAAATCAGTTTTCTTCATACTTCTCAAATTTTCTCTTCCTCTTCTACATGTGTAGAACATCACATCGAAAAAAAACTTTATACTGCAACCCCTGCGGACTGTTTCCGGTTAGGACGCCGCTACTATACAATGTTGCCATGTCAGCATCGCTGAAAACTTCCTTGTGCTGAGTGGTTCCCTTTCCAGTTCATTTGATATTTGTAACATTTCGTTTGATAGACGAAAATCTGGGTCGTTAATAACGTCATAGTTAATTTTTGGGAAAAATCTCTGCAAACCAAACCTGATGCTGATCATCGAAGATCTACTATACAATTCACCATCTTTTCTTCTGAGTTCAGCGTAAAAGTTGGTAAGAATTTCAGCAATTTCACCTTTTGTCTTTTTGCAGTATAGTGTCCACTATCAGTCCCTTTTCGGTGCAGTATGTAATGAAAATTCGTTTCGCTGAATCTATACATTATTTTGTGTTATAACTATCGCGGTTTTCCAGGATTGCTTGTAGTTCCTCACTTGTCAAAGTTGCAAATCTCGATTCGCCAGCTATCGTTTTCGTAAGCAGACGACAAATCACACATGAGAAATGACGTAGTACACAATTTTATAGTCTGTAACTTATTTCTAACGAATAACGTACAGTTAATGAATTATAGTCTTTATCTAAAAACAGTAAAGTAAACATGGTAAACGTGAAGAAATAACGAAGCGGTAATTATTTCCGCCATTTTTTTTTAATGCACAGGTCAGGTTCTGCGGTCAATGATATTAATGACCGGTCAATACCTCATACTCCTGCAAAAATCAAGTCATAAATGGTCATGTGACACAACAATGGGTAATAAGCTTATTTTAATGTTTCCTCATCAACCAATCAGATTCTTTCATTCTAATTCGAGGTATGAATATATGTATTATATATTGTGAATAACAGATATTTTATACTTTTGTCCCCTTTAATTAATCATGTCGTTACTTTTTTGGCAACTGAAAATCGTGGTTGTGCACCTCCTCCCCTTGAAATGTTTTCCTAAGGGCATTTTCTAATATACAAAGATAAAACCACTGACTTGTTTTCGTGTGTCCTCATTCCCTCCAATTGATAGTCAAGATAGTGTTTAGTTTCCAAGATCGAGTTATGAGATGCATTCTATTAAACTATTTGATTAACAAGTTTTGTCTAAATCTAATATGCTGTCAGACATCAAGACGTCAGAAAATTGCTTCTGTATCTCGTGTATGTCAGTATTTTCTAAACTATTGTCGTTATAATGATTGAGTTTTAGGAATAAACCTATCATCTGGCCATATTTCACTGGTATGCTTTTGCATAGCCAATTTTAGGCGTTTAACAAAGGCTTTAAACATTCCTTTGATCAAAAAGTGATTAAGGCGGATATCTGTTCCAACTTATTTGGTGATCTAAGGACATGAATTTGTTTACTAACTACTATATTACGAGTCATTTAATATGAATGATTACATTTTTTTGTATTTATCTTATTTAAGGCACGAAACATAAAAGTCAAGATAAAATTAATAGTTCCATGAATCTAATTGCTCATCTGAGCAGTTTGAATAAGAACAAAAATGCAGTTCTCTACTGATTTTTTTTAAATATATAAAGTGGTCGGGTTTTGGGTGGGAAGGAATTTTGATTTCTACATTCTGTTATTATCGTAATCATAGTACACTATAGCGAGAGGGCCAAAATAGGTTTTGCCTAGATACTGCCTAATCCCATACACTTTTTTTGTTGAATAAAATTTTGTATGAATAAAAAAATCATGGCTCTGGTAGATTATAAAAACTTTTTTATGTATGTTCAATCTTATATTTTGGACTTGCCCCACCTCCAACAATACATGATTGAATCACACTTAAATCAACATTACCAGTGTGTGCTACTGAATTAATTTGACTAATCATAGCTTTCTGTATCCTTAATTTTCTTTGCAAATAGTTGATTCTTGTAGCCCCTCTCTATTTGAAGTGAGAGGTGTCATAATTTGAACAAATCTGGATCTACATTAATTTGACTAATCATGGCTACTCATTTTTGAGAAAGAAATTCTTGCTATGCAATTCTATGTAAAAATTTGATCACACATTTTTGCTCCCCCCTTCCATTTTTCACTACTACCGGATGCTTCCAATATATGACAAATCATGATTTTACTGCTCCCGAGAAGATTTTCAGCGGCTTTCCAATACATTCCAATAGAAAACTTTGATTGCCCAATGTGACCCCATCCGAACCTGGTGGGGGGGGAATGTCATGATTCGAATTTAAACTATCTATGCTTCTATATAGATAAATCCATGCGATCAGTGTTCTTGAGAAAAAAAATAGTTTTTGGCATTTCTTTGCAAAAGTTATCAACCATTTTGAGTTCACCGTATTCCAGGGGATCATCACTTAAACAAGCTAAAATTTACACAGCATGAAGATGATTCCACAGCATGAAGATAATCCCACAAAAATTATATATTTTTTAGATCAGTGGTTCTTGAAAATGTCATTAATTTTTTTTTTACGAATTCAGAAACACCCCAAATGGGTATCACCCCTTAGAGGAAAACGTGTTCCTTCTTTGAACAAACCCGCTTTCCCTTTGAATACCTCTCGGTAAGATTGGTTGAATTCAGCCAAAAAGTTCTTGAAAAGATGTCAAAAATGTAAAAAGTTTACAGATGGACAGACTGTCGAACACAGAAACATACAGGTACCAGACAAAATGTGACCAGAAAAGATCCCGTAAATTGTGTAGAGCCTTCGGTTCAACTAACCTTTTAACACTACACTAGTGAAACAGAAATTGGTTTTGTGATTTAATTTCGTTTTAACGTTAGACCTACGTTCTTATATAAATTTTTAAACACTAAAAAATATTAATTCTTAGATCATACAAGTAGTATGAAACTGCCTATATACGGGGCTGCACTGAGGTAATACATGCTGTGTTACGGAAACTCAGGGGACCTCTCTGGTGATGGAGTGGATAAACATTAGTTTGTTTCTTCTCTTGCATACAACAAGATGGGCAAGGGGTGAGAATCTTTCTTAGTAATGTCGTTGAGTTGACAGAAGTCGACACAAAATCTTAAGGTGTTGTCTTTCTTTTTGACAAGGACGATGTTTGAAGACCATGGGCTAGTGGATGGTTCAATGACACCTTGATCAGCCATACTCTTTATTTCAGCTTCGGCTTCAGCCATTTTTGATAAGGGCACTCGACGGAATCTTTGTCGTATGGGATGGACATTTCCAGTATCAATTGTATGTTCTATAATATTGGTGTGACCTATATCTTTGTCAGATTTGGAGAATATATCTTGATATTCTATTCAAAGGGAGGCACACTCACTCTCGTGTAATTTTGCAGTACTTTTGGTGTACAAATCTTTCAAATAGGAAGGCAGATCAGGGATTTTTGTTTCAAGTTTGAACATACACACATTGTGGAATTTTTTTATTATTTGGTTTTTCTTCTATGTCACTGTCATTGACTGGTTCACAGGTGGCAGCAATGGTATTTTTGTAAATTTTGCAAGGTTCATCTTGCAAGTTTAGTATTCGCAGTGGTACAATACCTTTACTAGGATTTACTAAAGACCTAGCAATCATAAGACCTTGTTTTTCAACAAAAGTATTGGTTGGCTCCAATAGGGCAGCACATTTGTTGACATGACCAGTGGATCTACCAGGAACTATCATTTTAGTTCCAGGGGGAACAACAACATTTTCTGTCACAGAAATTCTGCAACAGGCAGATACTTCACTAGAGTATCTGAAGTATGGGATTTTACCGCCTTGCACATCAAGACAACTTTTGCTTAATAGCACTTCACATTTGTTGGCGGTCAGAAAATCTATACCAAGCATGACATCATTATTTATGTCAGCCACAAAGACGTCATGGTAAAATTTGTGCTGGTCAATTTGTATTTCAACTCGAGTCTGACCAATGAAGGAGGAAGTGGTTCCAGTTGCAGTAACCAATTTTGTATTGACCGGGGTAATTTTTGTGTGCTTGCAGGGATTTATGGATTTAAGAGATTTTACGCTCAAAATTGTAACACTGATTCCAGTGTCCACTAATAATGACATAGGGGTATCCTGCACTTTGGCAGAAATGAACAATCCCTCATCCCCAGACATGGTTTCATTTACTAACACTGTTGAGGGCCATTTTGAGGAAGTCGATCTGAGGCCCCCAGATGCGACCTCATTTCGTTTCCCGGATTCTGTTGATTTCTTGTGTCAGGTCTGGATTAAACAGGTCTTTGTTCATTTTGGTTTTGGTAAGGGTTTCCGTATTTGGGTTGTGAGTTGTTAACATTTACTAATTTTCTGGTCTCCCTGGTTAGAGATCCTATCTCGTTTTTAACTTCTGAAAAACCTTTTCTAATAAGGTCTAATGAATCACAGTCATTGGTCTTGTTTGGTTTTTCATTGACAAATCTAACTGGTCGGTTTGAACCTCGTTGTCTGTCTGCTAAACGGTGTGTCTCCAGTGTAATGGCTTGGGCCTCTGCCTCATCAATGTCATTTAAATTGGCTTCTCTGATTCTCAGTCTAATGTCACTGTCAGGAATGGAATCAATAAAATGGTCCCTAGCGAGAATCTTGGTAAGTGAGGATGGTGCTTCAGGGTACGCGAGTCTCGTTAACTTTTTAATAGACTGGGCAAGTTCAGGAATTGATTCATCTTTATTTTTTACTCTAGTTTGGAGTTGAGCACGATAAATTTCGGATCTGTCATGGGATCCAAAACCTGTCATAAGGGCTTTGACTAAATGGTTATAGTCAAATCTCTCTGTACTGGACAACTCACTAAGGGTGGTACGGGCATTGCCTTTCAAGGAGCTTGCTATGTGTAATGATTTTTGATGATAATCCCACCTATTTAATTCACACAAAATTTCAGATTGGGCTAAATATTCGTCCAGGTCCTCAGACCCATCAAAACATTGTGATTTTGTTTGTGGAAATCCCCCAACTTGGCTATGATGGTGTTGTAAAGGCTGTTCAGTGGAAATTTCTGGGTAGGAAATTGGAGAAGGATTCAATGCATTTTGACTGAAAGGTACCTGGGGACTGACAAGAGAAGACACGGGTTTGGAATTTTCTGATTTAACCTTCTGTTGGATTTCCGCTATTCTTTGTTTCATATTTGAGAGTTGATCATCAAAATCATTTTTCAATCGATTTACATCTCTGGTAATTTGAAATTGCACCTTAAACATATTTCTGTTGGTTTCATCACACCTATTTCTGAATTGCTTGGTCAATTCACATTGGATTTCTTTAAATTCATTTACTAAAGCTTTAGTAATATTTTTGGTAGGGTCCACTGGTAATTGGACACTTCTCCAGCACCAGCAGAGATGTTGCGGTCAACAGGGGTGATTTCTGGGTCACTATCATTCATGGTAGAATGATTTTCATCACTTGGTTTAAAGAACACTTCATTGGACTCATTGGAAATATCCATTGTAAAATGTTTTGGATTAATAAAAATGTTATAAAAATATTCTTGTGGAACTTAGTCTTGTTTGTCAACTGCAAGGTACAGAAAAAAAAATTCAATCAATTTTCTATGTTCCCACTTCTGACACAAATGTAACGAAAAGTATAATTATTATAAATTGATATAATATTTATCTGCCGTGCCTTAAATATTTGTAATAGACCCGGTATAAATAACTCTACAGCTTTTCTTTATAATAATACGTGGGCTCTGTACCTTTAGACAGTCAACAAAACAAGAGAAAGTCTTTGTGTAAAAGAAACATGTAATAATTTATTGTATAAAAGTACATTAAACAAACGCGATCTTTGAAATCTCCAGGATACTTTGGGAAGGTGTAAAAATGGAAGGTGCACCACTCTGGAAGCGAAGATGCAACGATATGGAAATGAAGGGGCGGTAGCAGACGTTGCTAATGTCAACAAATATATGTCAGGAGTATATAAGGGAAACTCTGGTAACTGGAGAAGGTACACACTATTACAATTAAATAGTCACCTTCTGTAATTTGGATGGGTTATTAAATAACACCTTCTGGGCCATTCTAAGGCTCCGTAATCACAATCTAATCCTGGCAAATGTAAATTCCAAACTGGTACCTTCAACGGGCCTCTCTGTTTATAAACACAGAAGACTTACGTCATTATCCAATCAGCGAGCGTCTAATAAACAAGGTAGCGCGTGCGAAACTTCAAGCCGAAGTAATCAAATACGGAGGGAAATCGAAGCACACTAGGGCTGTAAACATGGATTGTGGATAAAATATCGCTTATGGTGGATGGTAAAACATGAAATAAACACAGGTAAGCACTACTGTGCGTAATGACACACATTTTATGCCACAAGGGTCGAGAACAAAATCCCGAACGAATGCAAACAACACCTTCAGTCCTTGTGAAACGGCATGTTTCTACTTTTGCTTTCAACCAAAGCTAATAGATTATCAATAAATCGGCATAAACACATAAAATCACTTGAAATATCGTATCTACACTCCGTAGTAATTTGTAAATATTCATGCTAAGGTAAAATAATAATCATAAGTAATAACTATGGTTGGCACAAGGTACAGGCCCACCTAAATTCATAACAATATGTATATACAATCATATGAGAACCATATGTGGCAAATCATATTAGAATCATATGATTACAGATATGTGATTCATATGAAAGGACATGCATGTGAGAATCATATCATGAATATTCTGACAGTGGTCATTTGAGAATCATAATTATGAAACAGTGTTAACTAATTTGTCCTTGTTATACTCAGGTAGAAATCAAATGAATATTTTGACAGTAATCATACGAGAATCTAATAAAACTGCTTCAAAACGTTCGAACCAAGCATTAAAGCATAGATGATTGAATGCATCAATTAATTAATACATGTAAATAGTTTTTGAAATAATTGAAAAATACCGTAAATCTGGGAATTTTTAAGTCGATTTTATTTTGCGAATTCGGGTCAAAATGGTGTTGATTAATTTTAACGTTTCAAAATTTTGCGAATTACTACTGCTTTGTTTACATTTTCTTATTGGTAATTTATTTTTAAGAAAAATATTTTTGCGAATGCAATAAACTCGCAAATTTGCTAAACATTTATCTACAGCAAAAATTTCCAGATTTACGGTAACTCAAGCGAGGTTAATTTTATAATTGTTAGATGTTTTTCTGGTGTCAGCACTTTTTGAAAATAACCGGGAAGCTTGTTTTATTAAAATATGGCTCTTCAAGAAGAAAAAATAAAAGATGGTCCTACTTTAGTCTTTTTCATCAAATGCAATATCATGCATGATTACCAATGTTCATATTTACGTCAGTATAATGAAAGTTATTTTTTAAAAACAATGTACTGAAATCTTTGTTTCAATTATCTTACCATCTAAACCTAAAAGGCTTATGAAAATAAACAATTACTATGAGTACAAATATTCTTTTTTCAGCTAATCTTAAACTTGTAAATTGTTCAGAAATAGAAACCTTTGGTAACCTTGGTATTTTAAACATCAGTTTTGCTATTTGTTTTTTCTCTGGTTCCTTATATGTTTGTTCTATTAGTTAATTTTGCCATAAAGGGAACGTAAGTTAGCAACAGTGCATTTTACTTACATCTTACATCCAGTATGTATTTGTTGGACCCCACATTTTTTCCTGGTCTGTTCATGGCTCTACAGTACATCTGTTGACCATTGTCCCCTGCCACACCTGTGTACTGTAGTACTGATGTAGTTCTCACAAGGTCATTACTGTCAGTGACCGTGGAGGATGCAGCCTGACTGGTGACGTCCGTTGATTCCTTGTACCACGTGATGTTGGCTGCTGGGTTACAATAATCTGTCTGACAGGTTAGAGTTATCTGTTTACCAGCATCCACGGTGACCTGGTTTGGGGTCAGGGTTACTGATGTTACTAAAACTATAAAATTTGTTAAAGTTTTTAAAATGTGATAAAGTTCCTGAAAGTTTTATACTCCAGTTTTACATTACTATACATTTTCAATGTAAAAAGAAAACTCAGGTACCACGTTATTAAGGCGTACATGCAGAGGAAGTAGAAAGTAAAGAAAGGCACATGGCTTTTCACTTTAAGATAATTTAATCTTCTCCAATCAAAGATGCTTTAAGACAACTTTGATTTAATGTGATTCCAAAGAAAAAGTAGAAAATCAGATAAATTTTAAACAACTTACGACAAACAAAAGATGACATTGTCACAAACATAGAAAACTTAGTTGAGCTGTTAGCTAATACAAGAAAAAAAAATCATATATGCCTTACAAAGTGCTAAACAGATCCTTGTTGTTTATCATAATTTGGAGAAACATTTGATGTCAATTATTTGAAGATTGCTTTATTTTGATGATTTTGGTTTTACTCCTTAGACCATAAAATGAAACATTTTTGTTCTTGTTTATTGATAGATGCTGTGTAACAAACTACATGTAGGTTGTAATAATCAAGATTTGTTTCAGGGATGAACCTGAAAATGTTCAAAAGTTTTTTTAAAAAAACCAATGCGCTACAAATGACGCAAAAGTGAATATAAAGTTCGAAGGCTTTTCAATGAATTTAAAAAATGGTATCTAAAAAGGATATTCATCTCATATTTTATATCTCTCAAAGTATTCCCTGTTACTCTTTTCACGTGCATTGGCTATTTATATCCATGACCAAAAAGCCTTAGTAGTCGCGATTTCGAATCCCATTGTGGGACGTGGGGTCCGGTCCTTCGGATGAGACAGCATTATAAAGCGAGGTCCTTTGCCGCTGTAAGTGATAGCACGAAAAAGATCCCTCACTGATTAATTACCCTGCGTGCCAAGTATAGGACAATATTTGAAGCTCTCCACCGGCAAGTGGTGCACGTGGCATCACTATATGAATGAAAATTCTCGAGAGGGACGTTAAACAACATACAATCAATTAACCAATAAAAATTACGCTCTAATAAGAAAATATAGTTAACAAAATTTAAATCAAGCAACATTCATCATCAACTCAAAATTGAGGTAAGAGAGTTTTTTTAATTTTATATTTGTTATATTTACAAACAGAGCTTTGTAAAACTGTTATTTCATGGACAATTTATCATGATTAATATATACAATTTTTTTCTGTATGAAATATGTGGGAATAATATTCAAGCTCAAAATTTTATTAAACATTACAAAATAGGAGTGGTTCAAACACGAACCTGTAAAATATCAGAGGTGCATTGTGATTTAATAAAAATGTTTACTACAATTTTGTGTGATTTCTTGTCCCTAGTAGATGGATAAATATTGGGGTACTAGTATATCCATTTTTGATTAAACTGACAGATATGAGTGCTACGTTTGCAATGAGAAAATTTAAAGTAGGCCAGAGTTATTACATGTGTACAGTATAATACATAATACAAATACAAAATGCACTGTTTTAAACATTTGCATTTGAAGAATACACTCATTTCAATTGAAGTAAAAAAGTTAATTATTTACCAATAATATTGAAGGTTACATTACTACTTCTTTCTTGTCCTGTAAAGAGCCCTTGACAGTAAACACTTTCTCCATTCCAGTTTAGTGGGACTGGGTACTGTACACTTTAAGTGGTAGAGTTGGGACATAATGTAGTGTATTGTCTAGCACATTCAGTCTGTCTACATACTCCTCCGGCTGATTCCAGAGAACAGAATTCTGCTGTGGGATTCACGGAAGAGAGAAAGTAGGCAGCACCTGGTGCTTGTGAGAAGGTGCACTGTATTGTCACTGTCTGATTTACCTCCACACTACTGGAAGGATGAACTGTCAGGGTAATAGAGGCTGAAAACAAAAATAAACTTTTCATCAGATAAAAGAGATACGGGTCTAATTACTAAATACAGTTAAAATGTATTTATTTCCAATCAAAGGGTTCCGTTTTTACTTAAGGGAAAGGGTAGGATGAAAGGACTCTATATGGAGATAAACATTTTAAACTCAAAAATTTTGTTAAAAATTAAATAGATTTTCTAAAAATCTCCATTTAAAAATATTTTAAGCAGCATTAAATTAACTGAATCATGAACTATAAATCAATGACGACAGATTAAAAAAAAAAAGAAAGTAAAGACGACATGTAAATGGCATTTGGTTTAAATTGGTATACCTCTACCTGTATTTTCAATTTTATTTCTTCTCAAGTGCCCCAAATTAAAATCATTATTAACAAAAGGAACAAATTTAAAAGTATGTTAACTGTACAATGTACATAGATTAATATATGTTTTTAATTTACTATATTCAGTCTCCCATAACCCCACTCCCCCAGAAAAAAGTAAATAAAAGTTTTTCATCTTTTATTATACCCGCACTTTCTAAAGAAAGTTCGGGTATATTGTTGTTACTCATGTCCGTCCGTCCGTCCGTCTGTCACACTTTTCTTCCCTTAACTCCTCCTACATTTTACACCGTAGCTTAATCATCTTTTGGGAGATGGTTGGTGGGGTCATGTAGATGTGCAGTAAGGTTTTGGAATTTCGATTTTGCCCCGGGGGGTCAAATGGGGGTCGAAAAATGACGTTTTTTGTCCAAAAAAGCCCCGTCTTCCCTGAACTCCTTCTACATTTTACTCAGTAGCCTAACCAGCTTTTGGGAGATGGTTGGTGGTGCCATGTAGATGTGCAGTAAGCTTTCGGAATTTTGATTTTGCCCCAGGGGGTCAAATGGGGGTCGAAAAATGACGTTTTTTAAGCAAAAAGCTCCGTCTTCCCTGAACTCCTCTTACATTTTACTCAGTAGCCTAACCAGCTTTTGGGAGATGGTTGGTGGGGTCATGTAGATGTGCAGTAAGGTTTTGGAATTTTGATTTTGCCCAGGGGGGTCAAATGGGGGTCGAAAAATGACGTTTTTTGTCCAAAAAGCCCCGTCTTCCCTGAACTCCTTCTACATTTTACTCAGTAGCCTAACCAGCATTTGGGATATGGTTAGTGGGGTCATGTAGATGTGCAGTAAGCTTTCGGAATTTTGATTTTGCCCTGGGGGATCAAATGGGGGTCGAAAAATGACGTTTTTTAAGCAAAAAGCTCCGTCTTCCCTGAACTCCTCTTACATTTTACTCAGTAGCCTAATCATCTTTTGGGAGATGGTTGGTGGGGTCATGTAGATGTGCAGTAAGGTTTTGGAATTTCGATTTTGCCCCGGGGGGTCAAATGGGGGTCGAAAAATGACGTTTTTTGTCCAAAAAGACCCCTCTTCCCTGAACTCCTTCTACATTTTACTCAGTAGCCTAACCAGCTTTTGGGAGATGGTTGGTGGGGTCATGTAGATGTGCAGTAAGGTTTTGGAATTTTGATTTTGCCCCGGGGGGTCAAATGGGGGTCGAAAAATGACGTTTTTTATGCAAAAATCTCCATCTTCCCTGAACTCCTCTTACATTTTATTCAGCAGCCTAATCATCTTTTGGGAGATGGTTGGTGGGGTCATGCAGATGTGCAGTTAGGTTTCGGAGTTTTGATTTTGCCCGGGGGGGGGGGTCAAATAAGGGTCGAAAAATTATGTTTTTTATGGAAAAAGCCCCATCTTCCCTGAACTCCTCTTACATTTTATTCAGCATCCTAATCATCTTTTGGGAGATGGTTGGTTGGGTCATGTAGATGTGCAGTTAGGTTTCGGAATTTTGATTTTGCCCGGGGGGTCAAATGAGGGTTGAAAAATGACGTTTTTTATGGAAAAAGCCCAGTCTTCCCTAAACTCCTTTTTTGTTTTAAACAGTGGTCTTATCATCTTTTGGGAGAGTTCACTCTTTTGAAATTTTGTTAAAACATCAAGGTCAAGGGGTAAAAAATCATAGCATGCTGGGAGCCTCTTGTTATGGGTAATGTTCACTTGAAATGTGAAAGTCAAATCTCTTCTCAATGAAAAGGAAATACAACATTAATGAAAACTAAGTTAAACTTCAAGGTCAAGGTCACAGAGTCAAAAAGTCATGATACATTTTGGAAGGTCTTATCACAGGTAATATGAATGCCCTTTCATTTATCTTTCAAAATGATCAATTCAAAGCAATTAATTTTTTTAAGGAAATTAGGTCAAACTTCAAGATCATGGGTAATGAAAATCATAGTGTATGTAGAATGGTATTGTCCCATTTAATACTAATACACATGTTTAATATAAAAGTCCTATCTCTTCTCATTCAAAATATACGACCATGATGACCAAGGTTAAATTTATTGTGACAGATGGGCAGATTGACAAACAAATGAGATTTAATGTACCCTACCTTTAGCAAAAATGGGGACAATAAATGTCTTTGCTGTTCTTGAGAAGAAGATTTATGTTGGAACAAGATGTGTTTGTGAAACACTACGCGCCCGGCGGCAACAAAGTTAAAAAAATCTTCTTTTAGCATATTGATCACAGTCAAGGTCACAAGGTCATTGACCATGGTGTCATTCGAAAGAACTTAATCAGTGGAGTATGCGTACTAAATATGAAGTCCCTATCTCCTATGGTTCAAACGTTGTGGCAAAAAGTGTAAAGAGCTATTTTTAGCATATCCGTCACAGTCAAGGTCACAAGATCATTGACCTTGCCGTCGTTTGAAAGGACTTTATTGGTGGAGTATGCATACCAAATATGAAGTCCCTATCTCCTATGGTTCAAAAGTTATGACAAACAGTGGAAAAAGCTATTTTTAGAATATAGGTCACATTCAAGGTCACAAAGTCATTGACCATGGTGTCATTTGAAAGAATTTAATAGGTGGAGTATGCATACCAAATATGAAGTCCCTATCTCCTATGGTTCAAAAGTTATGACAAACAGTGGAAAAAGCTATTTTTAGCATATAAGTCTTAGTCAAGGTCACAAGGTCATTGACCTTGAAGTCATTTGAAAGGACTTTATTAGTGGAGTATGCTTACCAAATATGAAGTCTCTATCCCTTATTGTTCAAAAGTTATGGCCAAGGTTAAAGTTGACAAAAAGACAAACAGATAAACAGACAAACAGACAAACAGACAGGACAAAAACAATATACGCCCGGGATCTATCAATCCGGGCGCTTAAAAAGTACCCTGCATATTTAAATGTAAATTGGTTGAAATTAGCCCAGTGGTTCTTAAGAAGTTAATGTGAAAAGTTTGCAGATAAACAGATGGACAACAGAAATCAGTACATTTCAGAAAACAGTATGCTTATAAATAGTTAATCAAGGTGCTTTGGGTAGCAAAATAAAGCTAAACTGGTATATCTAATTCATCCGCAGAGCTTAGTATATTTCAATATGCACAACCTTTTCAACTCTTATAATTATTTTTTTAAATTTATATCACCATGTCTCATTCAAGGGAGAACTAGAGATATGACCAGATGTATATCTGTTGAATATAAAATATGTACATGTATTCTGTGTTTTTTTTTAGTAATTTGTTTGTTTGTTGTGACAGCAACTATTATGGCAGCTTTTGGCAAAGGTTGAAGTTTCTCAAATGTAAGTCAAACTCCAAGGTCAAGGTCAAAGGGTCTAAATTGTTGTTATCAAAGGGAAAGTCTTGTCACAAGAAATACACATGTGAAAAAAGGGAGAAATCCCTAGAACTTCCTCACCTGTTCAAAAGTTATTGCCAAGGTTAAAGTTAAATTGGATTCAACTCTAAGGTCTAGGTCAAAAATAATTATACCTGTTGAAAGTTCACAATGATTACACATGTAAGAGCATGAAAGTCCTAGCGCCACCTGTTCAAAACTTACGCCAAGTTCAAGGTATTTTTCTTGTAAGATTGGGTCAAACTCCAAGGTCAAGAGATCAAGAGGTCAAAATTGGTGGTACCCATTAAAAGGTTTTGCCAAAAGAAATTTACCTATGAAATATTGAAGCCATGTGTATAGCCCAATCCACTTAAAAAATATGGGCAAGGTTAAAGTTTCCGTGGACAAACAAAAATACATAAACATAGGAAACAAAATATGTATAAATAGTCAAATGAAAAAATTTTCTACTATTATGGAGTCATAAGATCAGTTGTCATTTCAGGTACAGGGAGTCAGTGGCTAGGGAGATCAGACCCTCCCCCCCTGGAATTAGCAGTTATTTAAATAAGACTATATATGTACTGTAGAGAATAAAAATGACTTTGGACATCCTCCCCCTTAGAAAACAGGGACTCCACCCTCATTGTTTTTATTATTATTTTTTATTTCCATCTCAAGAAATCTTTGGCTGATTTTTTTGACTGAGGTGTGACACCCCCCCCCCCCCCTTTCTGAAAAAAAAATTCTGGATCTGCGTCTGTTATATACTGAATGTCCGCAACGGGAGATAACTTGACATTTGTCGACTGTGGCATGCGATGATCTTTGACCATGTTGACCCTTTTTGAACTTCAACCTAACCATTTGCATTTATTTATTTTTATGCAATCTATACTAAATCTTGTACTTATCGAATGTCATAGGTCGTGACAACGAATTCATGAAATATAATCCATATAATCCAATTAAAACACAAATGATTTTAACTGACCACACTGCATCGTCAGCATACATGTGCTAAATAATCTCATTCGACAAACCTTTGCTGATTCCGTCCGTTGCCAGTGTGAATTGGCCGAGGTGTGCCGAGAGGTGATATCTATAAATATGATAATGGGTGACGCAAACCCAATGTGAATGTAGAAAATAAAACTGTTTAGTACAAGAACAAATTTCAAACTATCATAATAAACTAAACTATGTTTTTTAAAAAAATGTGAGAGTGAGAGAGTGTGTGTGTGTGTGGGGGGGGGGGGGGGGGAGGGGGGGGAGAGATAGGCATTGACAAATTAATCGGGTTGTATTTTCAATGGGGTTTTTTCCCGACCAAATACTAAAATCAGTTTGCACATTTTGATAAATTCAACCATTTATCCAGTAATCAACCAGTAATCTAACCATTTACTATCGAAAAAACGAAAGGTCCCTTTTTTAGAACTTCGAGTTTTACTTATCGCATAAAAACGTATTCCACACAGTTCGTGTTTTATATTCTTGATGTGAAAGGCATTTTGAAAATAGGTGATGCATGTATCTAGTTTTAATTTATATTTTATGCAGCAAACATTTACTTGAAGAATTGATCAAGTTTAAAAGGGTATCGTTTTTGTTCGATTTTCAACCGACTTTAAGTTTTCAAAGTATTCTCGACTATCGTCTCCATCACTTAGACGCATGCCTTTTCACACATATCAAAGCGGTTTGATAATCCGGACTAATTTTCATTGTTGACTTATTTATTTCCCGGGCGACAATGGATGGTTACATCAATGTTTTCTTATTTATTTTTTGTATGTCTGCCTCCGGGGTGTTAAATAATGATTCAGTAAGCGCATCTCCACACTACGCACTTTTCTTTGTAAGTAAATGGACCCATCATTGTTTTCATACTTAAATACCATGTTTTCAGTTTATCAACATTAGTATTCATCTTTTTTTGTCTGCGCATTTCCTCCTTACCCACTTTTCTTTCCATCATTGTTACCATATTATCAGTTTTAAACATAAGTATTCACCTTTGTTGCTTGCACAGCCCAGATGAATAAGGTACAGTGTAAATGTTTTCTTATTGTTCCTGCCTCCTCTGATGGAACGTGTTCAGGTTCAGGGGATGGTATTGCTTGCTTTATTGCCTTTATTCCCCCTGTTTACTATAGGTGGCATCTTCAATTTTATGCAAACATTTGTTTTGTTACTGTTTCCATCGTTGAATGAAATATTGCCCGTTATTTTTGTAAATACAAGTACTCTAAAGTAACCTAAACGTCCGTGACAAAGCGTAAGCACTCGCATCTAATTTTACTCTCATCTGGCCGTATTAAATCGTTTCTGATCGGATATAAATCGTGTCAGTTCGTGAGCAGTAGGACAACGCAAAGCGTCACAGATAGTGACAGATAGTGAGACATTGGTAGGAATCGCAAAATAGCGGGGTTATTTTTCCAGTCGGAGGACGTTTCCAATAACAACGATTCGAAAGCCATATTAGATGCCCTTACGATGCAGGTGAGGTACGCTACGATGCAATACGACCTGACGCGATGTTAACGATATATAAATGATAAGATACAATCGTGTTGATCGGAACAAGAAATCTGTGAGCCAATGCTCACAAGTAATACCCCCGCTCTGATGTGAATAAACACTATCATGTTATGATGTTAATTTTCACAAGTTCAATTACGGCAAATGCACAGAGAAATGCGAAGTTGACATCATATTCACATCAAAACTAATCCCACCATACTGCATGCTTCAACAAAGTGTAATGAAATTTCAAGTATCTGTGATGGATAGTTGATGAGAAAACGTCACCGAATTTGTTATGTATGAAACGGACAGATACACAGATAGATAGGAAGTTGAGACGAATTTGATCAAAAATGTATCCCACCGTATGACATGCCTCAGAGAAGATTGTTTTGAAATTTCAAGCATCTGCGATGAATAGTTGCTGTGAAAACTGTGATGAGAATTTGTTATGTATGATATGGACAGACGCACAGACGACCAGGAAGTTGACATCGGATTTGAACAAAATTGTATCCCACCGTATGGCATGCCTCAGAGAAGATTGTTTTAGAATTCGGTAGGTAGACCAAACATTTTGATACAATCTCTCATGGGCCCGTGAGCAATGTGGCTAGGAAAAACGTATAAATCAGTTTATTATTGAAAATTTTAAACACAATAGTGGTCCAAACCAATCTTAAAGGGGAGTGGGTATGGTTTGAACAAACTTGAATCTACACTAGCTCAGGATGCTTGCATATTTTTCGACTACCTGTGGCTTTATTGCCCTTTACATTTGAACTTGCATTGTGGTCATGGCTTACACCCAGGGGTCATCACTTGAACAACATTGAATCTACACTACCTGAGAATGTTTCCATATGAATACATGTATGACTAATCATGGCTTTCCCATTCTTGGTTAAAACTTGGATTCTGTGTTGTGGCCCCGCCCTACCCCAGGGGTCATGATTTGAACAAACTTGAATCTACACTACCTGAGGATGCTTCCATAAAAACATGACTAATCATGGCTTTGCTATTTTTTAGAAGATTTAAAATAAATTCTATATATTTCTATGTAAATCTTTGATTGGCCATTGAAGTCCCTGTAACGTTGAATTCCCCCTACCCCAGGGGTCATGATTTGAACTAACTTGAATCTCCACTGAGGATGCTACCATATGAATATGGTCATTCATGCCTTTGCTATTCTTGAGAAGAAAATTTTAAAGAGTTTTCCTATATATTTCTATGTAAAACATTCATCGGCCATTGTGGCCCCGCCAAACCCACACAGGGGTCATGATTTAAACAAACCTGAATCTCCGCTTCTATATAAATATGATCATTTATGCCTTTTCTATTCTTCAAAAGAAGATTTTTAAAGAATTTTCCTATATATTTTTATGTAAAACTTTCATCGGCCATTATGGCCCCGCCATTACCCCCTGGGGTCATTAACAAACTTGAACCTACACTACTCGAGGATGCCTCCCTATAAGTTTCATTTTTTCTTGGCACATTGGTTCTTGAGAAGAAGATATTAAAACATACCACCAAATTTTCACTATTTCTTAATTATTTTCCCTTGAATAAGGGCGTGGGCCTTCATTTGAACAAACTTAAATCATCTTTACCTAAGAATACGTTGTGTAAAGTTTGGTTGAAATTGACCCAGTGGTTCCTGAGAAGAAGTCGAAAATGTAAAAGTTTACGATGACGACAGACAACGGCCAAATTTTGATCAGAAAAGCTCATTTGAGCTAAAAACTTAGTAAAACATATTTCTCACTTTTGTATGCTCCAATTAAATGTTGTTTACAGGTTTATGCTAAAAATTGAAGCGGGCTGACCCTGACATACAAACAACTCAACGGCCAACACAACATTATTTTCCGGCACTGATATTGTACAGTCTTTTCTTGCTTTTAAATTACAGTAAGTCTGATATCTTCACAAATCTTTCGGTTTATGATATAAACATTATATTCTTATTATGTTATTTTAAAACATTTCATCAACGTCAAACACTTCCATTGTTAATATATTGTATAGTCACACCTAAACAGGTCTCATTCTGCTTGGTTGACTACCTGGGACATTCTAAATTGCTCAAAACATCGACCCATGAGGGTAAGACACACCCACAATTAAGAATCCAAGTTTTACTTTGGAATATATTTAGGGACAATCTTTTAAAATCTTCTCAAGAACTGCTGAGCCAATAAAGCTAAAACAGATTTCGAAGCTTCATGGGGGGTGCAGATTCGAAATTGTTCAAATCATGACCGTCAAGAAATAGTTTGGGACAACACGAAGGAATCCAATGTTTACAATTAAATATACTAGTATAAGAAAAAATGTTGAAGAATCTTCTTCTCAAGAACCACCAGGCAAGAAAAACTGAAACATGAATGTTATTTTTGGTCGTGTAGAATTTTAGTTGTTCAAATCATGACTCCCAGAGTAGGGGTAAGTTAAATATGTAGGAAAATCTCCAAGAAGTTTCTGGGCCAGAAAAGTTGAAAATTATGTAGAAACATCCTCCTTCGGTGGTGTAGATCCTAAATTGTCCCAATCTTGACACCCAGGGCTAGGACAGGGCCACAATAGGGAAGCCAGATTTTACATTGAAAATCTTAAAAATTCATCTTCTCAAAATCGACTGGGACAGAAAAAGTGCAGTATTTGTGAAAACATCCTGGGATGATGTAGATTCTAAAATGTTCAAATCATAATCATGATAGGATGGGACCATATAGGTATTACATGGGGGATAATATGGTGAACAGCATGGCAAGAGATATACAGGTGAGCGTGAGGGACCATGGGCCTCTTGTTTATGTTTGTTCCTTTATTCCCATTTTGTTGACAGTTTTTTTTTTTTTAAGTTGTTCAAATTGCGTATAACGTTTGTATCTTAAAGAGGCTGGGGGTGGCAGCCATTTTAGACTATTACAATCTCCTTTAAAAGGAGAGCTCCATATAAAGATATACAAAAATGATCAAATTTTAAAACTAAAATATATGATTTTTTTTCTTTGCCAAATGATAGTTGACAGCTAAAGATACCGTATCTAAAAAAATAAGTTAAATCTGGTGGTTAATTTGGGATTAATTTGTTGACCCACTAGCCTCCTTAAGACTGTGGTAGCGTGTAACAATACGCTTCCGTATAAGTCTCATGTGAGGCTTTGAGAGAATAAAAGTTTAAAGCAACAAAACTTATATTTAACTTTAACCGTTGAAACATTTATACTTGAAACAAGTTCAAGTGCATCAACACCAGTAAGTAATCTTTTGATATCGGTCATTGCTGGAAAAAAGATCTATTCTATGACCTTAAAGAAAAATGTAACTGTTGATTATTCCCGTTCGATTTTCATAGAGTAATTATAATCGTTTGTACGCAATATCTAATATCTAACACAAAGCGTGATTTTTTAATCAATAAGATATTTTACCTTCTGATATCGAAGCCAAGAAAGTTAAGTACACAAGAAAAACCACTGTATTTCTCCTGCCTTCGCGGTAAATGTGCTGCATTGTTATTTTTCCCTAAGTCCTATATATAAAAAAAACTTCCGGGTTCATATGATCTTTAAAAAAAGGGTTTTTCATTTAGATATTCTCGATGAAGTTTATTAGCTCATCGCAGCAAGTTTTGAGGGATATATATTGTCGCTTGCTTGTGAGTGATTGGAGTGTAAAATTGAGTACCTGTAAATTTAATCAAGAACGTTTGCGATAAACAACAATGAACAAGGCCCTATGAACTGGGATAGGAGGGGGTTTTCCCCCTCTGATCACTTTGCCTACAATGCAATGATTTAATTAAAAACATGACTCCTTTATTTATGTGTTTTCTCATTAAACACATATTTCAAGTTAATATTTTCTGTAAAATATTACGACTTATATATTTTAAGCGCAATTCAGACAAAAAATTAATTGAAAATCTTATTTCATTTAAAAGTTATTAAAACTTTTTTGGCGGGTTTGATTGACACATCCTTGCACTTTTACCAACTTTATTCTTAATACTTCAGAAAAGTGGCAATCTTGTTGTGTATTAATGAGAACTATTAAAACTTTAATCCAGAAAAATAATTTTATTCAGAGTAGAAATGTAAGAAAGCAAAACTCCTTCACAAATATTGTCATTCCGAGCTAAGTGTTGCGCAAAGCACATTGGTCACACCCGTGTTATGTACACATTCTTTTGTAAACAGGGCATATGAGCTCTGTTATTGTTGACATTTACGATTCACTGGGTGCGTTCAATTGTTAAAGTCTACTCACCACAACTGCACGGATTGACAAAATACAATGTACTGTGTGTATGTTTTGCTTTCGGACATTTCTACTCTGAATTTTCTGAATTATAGTTTTAATATTTTTCATTTATTCAACAATATTTATATCTAAGTGCAAAAATGAATAATTTTATTGTAAATGTATAGATACATTCTACTTTAGATATAAATTCTACATAAGTCCATTTAGGTCGCCATTTGGGTCGTCATTTCGGTCCATTTGGGTTAATTTCGGTCCATTTGGGTAAATCAACGCGTCGCAGTGCAATGTTATTTCTTTTATTTTTTCACAGTTGTTGAGTTCTTAACATATTTAATTGACAAACTTGTTAAAGTGATTGGACACAAGTTCTTTAAGCTTAGATAGTGCTCTTCCATACATAAAATATCAAAAGCCATACAATTATAGTTAGAAAGATTTACAATTTAACAATAATATATATTTACGTAGAAGAACAAGAATAATAGCTATTATTATATGCTGTGGATCTATTATTATATGCTGTGGATGCATTATTATATGCTGTGGGTCCAATATTATATACTGTTGTTTCATAATTATATTCTGTGGGTATATTATTATATGCTCTGGGTCCATTTTTATATGCTGTGGATCTATTATTATATGCTGAGGGTTTATAATTATATGCAGTGGATCTATTATTATATGCTGTGGATTCTTTATCATATGCAGCGGTTTCACAATTATATGCTGTGGGTTCATAATTATATGCTGTTGTTTCATTATAATATGCTGTGGGTTCATAATTATATGCTGTGGGTGTATTTTTATGTATTCTGTCGGTTTATTAGAAACTACACTAGCTATTCTAATCAGGACTTCTCGTTTTTGGAGTTTAATTGCTCTTACGGCCGGTACACACGGTAAGGCTTGCCTTATAAGTCATGGAACTTAAAGGCCAAGGTTTTCAACCGTACGGTTTTCCTCAGGTAAGTTTGGTGTGGGTGGAGCTTAATTGAAGCGGCTGAGTAGCCCTGAGGGAACGACGCTGGCTTGTGTATACTACCTATATACACAGAATGTTACCTGAGCCCCTGAGTGTATTACCTGTATGCGTTTTCCTACGACTTTGTAAACCGAGGCCGTTTTGTTTTTCATGTTTAGCTCATGAATTGAAATGCGAAATAAAGCATTTTTTGTTGCAGACAAAATCCTTCTCAATTTCTTTCTTTTAAAATAATTGATATTTTTAATAATTCGACATTTTTATATACAGTGTGTTTCTTAATGAAGTGTTATCGAAAATACATTTACCACCAAAATCTGTCGTTGTAATCTGCCGACAAAATCCTTCTCAATTTCTTTCTTTTAAAATAATTGATATTTTTAATAATTCGACATTTTTTATATACAGTGTGTTTCTTAATGAAGTGTTATCGAAAATACATTTACCACCAAAATCTGTCGTTGTAATCTGGCGACAAAAAGGGAAGTAATTCAAATTACACGTCGTCCACGCAAAACGAAAGAAGAAAGTAAATCATAAAACAGTCTCTCGGTAAAAAACAATGAAACTTAGAAACGATGTTCTGAGAATAAAATGTTGAAGTAGAAATATTATTGTCTAAATAAATATCTTTTTAAGATAAACCCTACTTGATTTTTCCATAACCATGATAACGCATGGTCGGTAAAAATGGCCAAGGCTTCGGACAAGGGTTGATTCCCCGACATCTATGAAACGGGAAAAGAATCATCTGCATGGTTTTTTTTTCTTTCGGGATTCATTCTTAATTTCAAACATTTAATACAAAGCAAGATGTTATATTCCGAGTAATTTCTCTTCTAAAACTTACTATTATACCGTAACTTCGTCACCATGTCTCGAAGAAAAGCGACATGTACAGGTTTGTCTTATAAATATAAATTCGCTTGACTCATGAACAATGTTACAATGTTGTTATACTTATTTTAAAAAATAATGTTATTTTATTCCATGATAGCTTCAAACGCAGTTCGGTTTATTAGGTCACCTGAGTAAACTCAGGTGACCTATTGCTATCCGTTTTCGTCCGTCGTCGTCCGTCGTCCGTCGTGCGCCGTGTGTTAACATTTGAACATTTTAAGCTTCTTCTCTGCAACCATTGAACCAATTTCAGCCAAATTTGGCACAAAGCATCTATGGGTGAAGGGAAACAAAAATTGTGAATTTCATGATCCCTGCCCCCCTGGGGCCTGAGGGGTGGGGCCAAAACCACTAAAATTAATGCAATCTTTAAAAATCTTCTTCTTTACTCCTGGACATCAAGCAGTCAAACTATTTGCATGATTGTAATCAGCATTGAGTCCTCTACCAAAATTGTGAAATTCATGGCCCTGGGGTTAGGGGTTCTAGTGCTAGGGCGGGGCTAAATAAGTATACAGTGAAAATGCATTATTTCTTTGAAAATCTTCTTCTCTGCTCCTGGGTATTAAATAAACCAACTAAGTACATAGTTATGATAAGCAAGAGTGCCTCTACCAAAATTGTGAATTTTATGGCCCCAGGGTCAAGGGTTCTGGTGTTGGGGGGGGGGGGGTGGGCTCTATTGATTATATAGTGAAAATACATGAAGACTTTGAAAATCTTCTTCTCTGATCCTAGGTATTAAATAAACTAACTAAGTGCATAGTTATGATGAGCAAGAGTGCCTTTACCAAAATTGTGAATTTTATGGCCCCAGGGTCAAGGGTTCCGGTGTTGGGGGGGGGGGCTTTATTGATTATATAGTGAAAATACATGTACATGAATTCTTTGAAAATCTTCTTCTCTGCTCCTAGGTATTAAATAAACTAACTAAGTACATAGTTATGATGAGCAAGAGTGCCTCTACCAAAATTGTGAATTTTATGGCCCCAGGGTCAAGGGTTCTGGTGTTGGGGGGAGGGGGGCTCTATTGATTATATAGTGAAAATACATGAATTCTTTGAAAATCGTCTTCTCTGCTCCTAGGTATTAAATAAACTAGCTAAGTGCATAGTTATGACAAGCAAGAGTGACTCTACCAAAATTGTGAATTTTATGGCCCCAGGGTCAAGGGTTCTGGTGTTGGGGGAGAGGCTCTATTGATTATATAGTGAAAATACATGAATTCTTTGAAAATCTTCTTCTCTGCTCCTAGGTATTAAATAAACTAACGAAGTGCATAGTTATAATGAGAAAGAGGGCCTCTATCAAAATTGTGAATTTTATGGCCCCAGGGTCAAGGGTTCTGGTGTTGGGGGGGGGGCTCTATTGATTATATAGTGAAAATACATGAATTCTTTGAAAATCTTCTTCTCTGCTCCTAGGTATTAAATAAATGAAGTGTATAGTTATGATGAGAAAGAGTGCCTCTACCAAAATTGTGAATTTAATGGCCCCAGGGTCAAGGGTTCTGGTGTTGAGGGGGGGGGGGGGGGCTCTATTGATTATATAGTGAAAATACATGAATTCTTTGAAAATCTTCTTCTCTGCTCCTAGGTATTAAATAAACAAACTAAGTGCATAGTTATGATGAGCAAGAGTGCCTCTACCAAAATTGTGAATTTTATGGCCCCAGGGTCAAGGGTTCCGGTGTTGGGGGGGGGGGCTCTATTGATTATATAGTGAAAATACATGAATTCTTTGAAAATCTTCTTCTCTGCTCCTAGGTATTAAATAAATGAAGTGCATAGTTATGATGAGCAAGAGTGCATCTACCAAAATTGTGAATTTTATGGCCCCAGGGTCAAGGGTTCTGGTATTGGGGGGGGGGGGCTCTATTGATTATATAGTGAACATACATGAATTCTTTGAAAATCTCCTTCTCTGCTCCTAGGTATTAAATAAACTAACTAAGTGCATAGTTATGATAAGCAAGAGTGCCTCTACCAAAATTGTTAATTTTCTGGCCCCAGGGTCAAGGGTTCTGGTGTTGGGGAGGGGGGGGGGCTCTATTGATAAGGTAAATAGTGAAAATACATGAATTCTTTGAAAATCTTCTTCTCTGCTCCTTGGTATCAAATAAACTAACTAAGTGCATAGTTATGACAAGCAAGAGTGCCTCTTCCAAAATTGTGAATTTTATGGCCCCAGGGTCAAGGGTTCTGGTGTTGGGGGGAGAGGCTCTATTGATTATATAGTAAAAATACATGAATTCTTTGAAAATCTTCTCTGCTCCTAGGTATTAAATAAACTAACGAAGTGCATAGTTATAATGAGAAAGAGGGCCTCTATCAAAATTGTGAATTTTATGGCCCCAGGGTCAAGGGTTC